CCATTGCAACTAATTTTTAATGACATTTCAGTGGAAATATTGCAAAAGAAATACAAATTAAACATAATTATATATGTCTAGAATCTTCACCAAAAAAAATTAAACCTAACCACTTTTGCTCCTCGAAACTTATTAAAAAAAAGAAATCCATCACCACCAGAAAACCTACCTTAATTTTGTAATCATCACCACCAGATACAAAAATTGGCTGTTGACTATGGAATGCGATACCACGTACTGGACCGTCATGTTCGTCAAATTTATCCAACATAACACACATTCGATAATCCCACAATTGAATGACACCACTATGCAATGATGCCAAAACCCATGGCCGAGTCGGATGGAATGAAATCCCTAGATGAATTAATCACAAATATATAATTTAAAATTATTAGTAAGATTTCAAAACTGCAAACAAAAGTTATGGAAACGAAAAGAGGGAGGAGAGAAATATGTTAAATTTAAATTTGACAATTAACATTAAAAAAGTATATATATATATGTACTAAGAAAATGAAATGTCTAGCAATAATAAGAAAAGGAAAATGAAAGGTGTTACTTTGTTAACTTTTACTCTTACTCTAAAGTTTCAATAATGAAAATATCTGAAATAGAATATGTCTAATCATAATCATAATTCATTCATAATTCAATCATAATTCATTCATTTCTTTTTAATACAAATGTGAATGGCAATTTTATTCATTTTTTTTCTAGCATATAAATCCAATACTTTCCACACCTTTCTATACCTGTACGTGAAAAAAGTTCGCACAGAAATTTACCTTTAACTCGTGCCGAACTTGACTCGAATTTTTTCAAAATTGTCATCACCTGTAAGTCTTAAATGTATTCCTTTATTAAGTTCTTGAACTTTAACATGCATTAGCTAACCAAAGAACCGTGTACCACAGAAAAACTACCGGAAAATTACCGTAGCACCACAATTCCTTTTCCGCTTTAACGACGTGGAAACTATGATCAATCCATCAAACCAATTCACGTATGAAAAGAATAATCCCAAACAGTGAACAAGAAAGAGACGATGGAAATTTCCGGAAATGCTTCGAAAGACTAGCTTTTCCGGACTCCCTTCTTCCGAAAAATTTCTACGAAAAGTTTTACCCTTTCAATGGTCAGCTTTCTTACGTTTGACTTTTTCAAAAAATTTAATAAAAAGTTCGATTCCTCAAATAGGCAATTTTTTCCCCGGATTCTTCCATTCCAAAAATGCAATATAAGAAATTGGTTCCTTTCAATGATTAACATTACCGGATTAATTTTTCTTTCAGGAAATCAAATTAGAGGTTTAATTTTTCCGGATTCCTTTTCCTTCTATTGTTTGCTTAATTTTTCCAACAGAGTTTTTCCAATATATCATTTTTGTATCATTTTTAACGGTTTGCAATTTTACAATACAATACAGTATACCCTCTCCGGTAACGGAAGTATCGTAGTGAACCATCTAGTAATTAGCCGGAGTAAAATATGGATTTACCGTACGAAACAACATGATATAAGATGATATAGTATGAAATTTAACTATTATTCATATTTTCAAGATCTTGAAAGAAATTTACCTTACAATTTAATTAGTAATTACTATGGTAGTAAGTCATGATAAGTGTTAAATATTACGAGGAAATACTTTGTATAGTATCGGCAATGAATGAAATTATTTAATAAGTTATAACAAATAATCTTTAACTATTAAGTCATATTTTATTGTAAATAGATTTGATGACATGTTGGTGACAGACAGACAATTAGGACTGCGGGAAAAAGATTAGAAAATATTCCAGAAGTAATGAATCATAATGATTGATAAATTGTTAACAGTATCATCTCTGGTTGTAAATATAACTAAAGTGGAAAATTTTTGATACAAATTTAAATTTTATAATATTTGTAAGTGTGTAACCATTGTTAACTTTGTAATATATATACCGAAAATGTCGCCTTCTGTCGCGCAAGAAAAGCTTGTATGCCAAAATGAAGTTGCAAGTTATGATGGCAATGGGTTATCACTCCAATAGGGTGTCTCATCTTTCAATTAAAAGGTCAAATAAACTATGTCCATAGGCAGGATGGGCTTGATAACTTCCCGAGAGTTTGTTTAGCTCTGTAAGATTACCAATCTAAGAACTTCACTATCACTGATGAACTTTAGGAATGAAAAATGGGCCTAAAAATCCATTGCATAGACTAAAAAAGATATATCCATATTTGTAGCGTTTGCTTTTTGTTTTTCTGTTTCAAATAATCGTCGAAAATTATCATGAAATTGGTGATATGATATTATCATTAATGAATGATAAATGATATTTTATGATATTTTATCACAACATCAATAACATTTTAAAATCGTTATCTTCATTCATTTTTTTCATATATTTTCTGTTCACTATGTATTGTAATATTTAAAAAGAAAAAAAAAATACTTTTTTTTGTTTCTTTTAGCATCATCTGTATGCTGATAAAACATTTATCATTTATCATTAATGGTGATAATATATCAACAATTTTAATGTTAAATTTTGTTAAATGATAGAATTGCAAAAGTAATATTTTTAATATTTATTTTTTAATATAAATATTCATTTTTAATAATTTATTTAATCTTAAAAATATTTCCTAACGGTTCTACTTTCTTTCCCTTCTTTTTCTTTAAAATCTTTTTGCAAATATCTTGAGCAAGAAGTATGATACCTTTTCAACTACTCCATTTAATAAATTTATTTCTTTTTTCAAATCATAAAATATAATTTTAAAATAGGGAGAGAGAGAGACTGGAAAAAATGATTTAAAGAGAGAGAGAGAGAGACTGGAAAAAATGATTTAAAATATGTTCGCATCTTATTAAATATTCCTTTTTGCGACTTACATTTATAATCGAATCAAAAGTATAAATAACTGCAAGAAAAAAAAATGTAGAATATAAGGATATTTTACCCATAGGTTTTAAATATTCCCGGTCTTTCAAAAAAGCATAACGGGTAGAATAATAATGGCGGGTAAGTAATAGGTAGAAATGTAATGGGTAAATAATAGGTAGAATTGTAATGGATAAATAATGGGTGAAACTTATATTTCTTGATGTAAAACTTCAATTTAACTAATTGAAATATACCCATTTGCTGTAAGAATAAATTCATTTCAAAAATTAAAAATTACTTAATCTAATTAAGAATTATTTGAATTTTATCAAGTACTAAAGATGGGATTAAATAATAATTTACAACAATCTTATGATGATAATGTTAAATGAACTTGTAATATACGTTTGAGACAATAAATAATAGGTTAAAACATAATAATTAATAGAGCTAATCGTAATTATCATCCATATCATGATTAATTACCATTTCTTTGATATTATTTCACTAACACAATCATTGCGCTTATTTATGAAAGTAACATTAAATTACCGTATGCTGCGTACTGAAAATCACTTTTTTTTTGCAATTCTTCAATATTCTTTCCATGTTAATAATTTTTGTTTGTAAACAAAAAATCATATTTTACAAATATATAATATATATATTGTACATAAATATATTTCTGCAATTCCGTATTTAAGATGAAAATTTTAATTAGTGTCATCTATGGAGACAAAAAAAAGAGGGAAAAAGTGACTTAACAGTAAATGTACAATAAATATTACAATGATAATTCATTATAGTGATAGCAATCATTATTACTGTTATTATTTTCCTTTAAGCGATATTTTACGATTTATGACGTTGAAAAAAAAAAAGAAGCCAAATTTTAGGAAATCAAATGTTACATCTTTTATCGAATATTTTAATTAATAAATTATAAAACAGAATTGATAGGAAATAATTGTGCTAATAGTTCCTTAAATATTGAACAGGTAGAGAAATAAAAGCTGCAATAAATTTGCTAATTTATGGAATTTAGAAAGGTTAAGAGTGGTCAATGCTCAAAATAATAACAAACAAATAAAGTAGTAGCAAATGAATGTGTGCAAAATTAGATTTATGCTAATATTTTATTTTCATTTCTACAAAAATATCATGAGAACTAATAATCTTAAAATAAATTTATGAAATATTAAATCTTAAATAATTGATTGTATTATCTCATAGTCTTATCGTAAATAATGATAGCTTTGTTTTATGTGAAATATGAGCATCAGAAATTTCAGTTTGTTGAATAAATAAAATCAAAGCTCAAATAGAAGAAAGGAAAAACAAAACTTCCTACTTTCATTGAAATTTACACTACTACAAAATTATGTTTGTTAATATTCTGTTTAAAAATTGGAAAAAGAAATTAGCAATTCTGATTTTTACAACTCGATTATTGATGAGATTTTAAGAAATATAATATGAAAAATATTCATAACAGTAATTACAAAATTTAGCGAAAAAGATGAATAAATACGTAAAATTTATATGCAAATGATGTGAGATAACGACAAATAAATAAATAAATAAATAAGTAAATAAATAAATAAATAAATAAACAAACGAACAAATGGGAAAAAGAAATTTAGAAAGAAAAAAGTGAATTTTATAAAACGAGATAACGATATGATATATAAAACAGAATTTTTTCAGAACATTTTTCTTCGGGAAAAAGATAATTGTTACCTCGTAATAGATGAAAATTTTCATAGCATGAAAGTAAACTAATTATTACCTCTTATTATTGTGCTGTTATCATAGAAACGAGATAACTATCATCTATTATCACTGTGCTATTATCATAGAGACGAGACAACTATTATGTGTTATCATTGTGCTATTATCATAGAGACGAGAGTTCATTATATTTACTAAGGTTGAAGGAATGCTTTTTTTTTCCTGTGTAATACACTGTTTCAAAAAAACAAATAAATACATAGTCTTTTCCTTTTAAAATGAGATTTTTGACACGAAAAGCTACAAAAGTTTAGTTTTAACGAATAAAAGAAATATGCTTTAATCAGAAATATAAATAAACAAATACATAAATTAATTTTGGTCTTATCTCTCATATGAAATTAAAAATGATTGCAATCAATGCTTTTCTGGATAATAAACAAAAGGGAAGAAGAATAAGAGTAAAATTTGAAATGAATTAAATTAAGTCTCATATGAACATAGCAACGAATATTTCATTTCAAATTAATTACTATAAGAGTTTCATGCTTTAAACAATAATAATACTTATTGCAGCGTTGTTTACATCATTACATGACCCAATTCGATTGTTTAAACAAATTCGATAAGAGGCTCCAGGACTGGTTGAAATTTTTTTGTCACTGATAACTTCCTTCGAGTCATACGCGATTTTCGATTGGATGTTAACGGAGAGGATAATTCGGTTGTGCTTCCGCTAGCTTCAACAATCGTATCATCGATGCATTTTCCGCTTTCACTAACTGTCGTCAATAATGGTACACTATCGTCGCATGCTTGTCCACTAATAAATTTTTTATTCTTACGGCCAAGTAAAGATTGATGGTGTTGTTGTTGTTGCGATGTTTCACCATGTTTAAATCCTTCCGTAATACTTGCAGCATTTGTATGTTGAAGTTGTAACTTTCTTTTGCAGTGTAAAATATATTTTCGATATACATCCGGAACCAAGACGGATGGATTATTTTGTTCTCGTACAATTTTTACCGAACTCATACATTGCTTCACATCCTAAAAATAATGGTAAATTTATAAATTTTTAAATTTTTCAAAGAATTTTTAAAGAATGATTGAGTGGCATTTCTTTTTCATTTTCTTTTTTTTCGAACATTCTTTTGTATGCATAATTTACCTGTTCAAATGAAATCAACTGTCGCCAAAAGCCAATATTTGGTTCCACTTTTGGTCGTACCGAAGCCAAATGAATATATGCATCACGTAACGTTTTAAATTTATATTTGGTCAGAAAAGCAAGACAAATTGTTGCGCAACGTGATACTCCTTGTACCGAATGAATGAGAACTTTGCCACCTCTTGCAATCACTTTCAGTATCTTAAAAAAGATAAAAAGTTATTTTTATGATCATTGATACTTCTAGTTATCCATTTTCATTTTCATAACAATTGTCTAGAAAAAAAAAAAACAGAATAACAATACAAAAATTATTACACATTGTT